TATCCCATAAATATAGCACACCTTAAGACTATATTTCTTCAGATAGATAGATAGATAGATAGATAGATTACAGGGTGATTGAAAAGTAACTCCCTATTTTTTTATGTATGAGTGTCCAGCCAGGAATCTTGATTTAACACCCCGTTATTTTTTCTTTGGGTTTGGTTAAAGTATCAAGTTCACTATACCAAACAAAGTCTTTGTAAGTACTTGAAGGTCGAATACAAGAAGTTGTTTTCCATACCACAAAAGTTCCTGGTGAATCAGTTGATGCGATTTTCAATCACCCTGTATATATATATATATATATATATATATATATATATATATATATATATATATATATATATATATATAGGGACAATGGTGCAGGACGAATGAACAAGTTGTAGCTAACATCTGGCTTCAAGAACACCTAAGACGAAAAGCCCTGGAGGAAAGAGGAAAAACAAAATCGACTATCTAAATATCAATCAGAGATTTAGGAATTCACTTTTATACTGAAAACATACACAAGTGCGGACTGCGGGAAAGATCACGACAGCAGCTTCAAAGAGATTCCCTTACTCGTTAACTCATCTTCCTCACCAAGCTACATGACACTTACACTTTCCTGTTCCCTTTCTCCCTTGCCTCTTTTTCTCACACATACACGCGAAGAAATTCATTTAACTTAACAAACAACTACAAACAATGAACTTTAACACTGATACTCGCTAACAACAATTTATTTGTAAACTCACGAAAATAAAAACATTTTACATTTAAAAACTTTTTCTCACCTTTTCCTTTCTTTTGGGTTTATTCAAATTGACAATAAACTAACAAGGTGAAAGACAGGCTCACGAACAGGATACATAAATTGCAAGAACAGCGGGACACTGATTTTAGATGAAGAAAAAATACTTCAGAGTTGGGACGAATGCATCGGAGAACTCTTACACGACGAAAGAGAACAACCAACAATGCACAGAAATATCGAAGGACCAGAAATATAAAAATCTGAAGCGGAATCAACGCCGGCCAAATTGAACAGAAACAAAGCGGCAGGACCAGACGGAATTGTAATAGAGATGCTGGCAGACTTAGATGATTTCGGCATTGACAAGTTTACATACAATAAGTTAAATATACAACAGCGGAGATATACCGGCAGACCTAAGGAGATCTATTTTCAGTGCGGTTTCGACAAGAAAACTGGAACGAGGAATGTGATATCCATTCTCAGAATTATATAAGAAAGAGCAATACAAGGACTGTTGGAACTACTAGGTAACCTTCCCTATTTGGAAAGGATAATAGAATAATCCAGAAACTATACTGGCAGTAAACGGCCTGCATGCGGATAAAACGATGCGCTGAATTTTTTTTTTTTTAATTACTCCTGTCTTGATAGTATCGCTTATCAGTCCGACAAGGTCAAAATGTCAGTCCGTCGTTAACTGAGGCAAAAAATGGGTTGCCTCCAAAAATAAACTTTTTTCCATTAATCACCTAAGAGACCACTCCCCTTCCACCAGCATGGCTGATGCTAACCTCCAGGAAATTGACTCGTTGCGCCTTCTCCGGGTAACGTTCTCAGCTGACATGAACTGGAAAGAATATATTGAATCCATTGCTAGGTCAGCTGCTTAGAAAGTCGTTTCACTCTGCCGAGCGAGACAATTTTTCTCTCCAGGATCTATCTTACATATCTTTAAGTCTACCATTCGTCCCTGCTTAGAATATTGCTGCCACATATGGAGTGGTACCCCTACTGTTTTCCTTCAGCTTCTTCATAAGATGCAAAGAAGAATCAGCAATATTACTGGTCCTGATCTGGCGTCTCGGCTCCAGTCATTTTTCCACCACCGTAAGGTTACCTCCCTATGTTTTTTTCTATAAATACTTTCATGGTAATTGATTGGGTGAGCTCTTCGCTATGTTACCTAAACTCTATGAATTTAAGCGCAATATTAGAGATCTCACCAATTTACAGCTGAGGTAACTAGATGTAGCCTTAAGTTCTATGCTAACAGTTTCTTTTCTCGCACTTCTCGCTTGTGGTACTCCCTTCCGGCTCCATGCTTTCCAACCAAGTTTAATCTGGAAAAATGTAAATGCAATGTCAATCGCTATCTATTGTCTTCCTGATTACTCTTTTCTCTTTCTACTCATCATTAATGTTACTGTTCCTAATTCTTCCACACCCTGTAAACCCTTGTGTCTTAGAGGCATTACTGCCTTGCTTGAAGTGATGCCGTTAAAAAAGGGTTAACTGCAAGAAGACAAACTGCATGGCTGTTAGTCAAAGGAACAGCAGCCCAACATTCAAATTACAAAACTGGACGGGAATTGCGACACTGAAATCCGAAGGTGTATTGAGATCGCAAAACATGCCTTCCAAAAGCTAAGCAAAGTATTTGGAAATAGAAAAAAATCGTAAGAACAAAGAAAAGAATACGGAACTATTATGTAATATCACTATATACGGCAGTGAATGCTCGACAGTCTCAGATGAAGTAGAAACTTGAATCAACAGAAATGTGGTTCTACAGAAGGATGCTAAGAATACCATGGTCCGAACGACAAAGCTTTAGAGAAATCGGAAACAAAAAGGACATTTATGCTTAACATCAGAAAGGGGCAGCTGAAATAATAAAGAAAGAAGGTTTGGAAAATGTGATACTCACAGGACAGATCGAAGGCAAGAAGGAGAGATGAAAATATTACTTAGCGAGCTTAAGTAAATAGACAAACTTTAGGAGAGATAATAAAAGACAAAATGTATTAAGATTTATAAAGACAAAGAAATTGTGGAGAGTCATGATCGTCTACGTCTAAAAGGGGCAGAGCACGTTTCTGCTGATAGAGAATTAATAGCAATAAATAAAAATAAAAGTTCAATTTATCACATACTTGATTTCTATAAATAAATTCAATTTTTCTATCAAAAACCCTTGACGTGTGAATATCATATCGGAAAAAAATCCGAGCCAGGAAAAATAAATTTCTTTGTTGGCATATATATATATATATATATATATATATATATATATATATATATATAGACTCTCCCGTCGATTTCGACGTATGAGGGTCAAGCAGATCAGTTTCCAGGAAACCGACAGCCCGACAACGACACATGAGATTTGATTATAGTGGTGAAGGCTTCGTGCAGGACCATCCACACTTTTTCAATATATATATATATATATATATATATATATATATATATATATATATATATATATTGTGTTTATACGTTATTATTTTTCTTTTTACCTAACACCCCTAACTCTCACCCTGCCGAAGACATGACCTGAAGTTTGCGTTCAAACATAAAACAGTCGCCGTTCAGTGTTATCCTCAGTGTACACTTTTATATTTGCATACGCTCTATCCTTGATATTGAGCACTTTTACCCATAAATGGAGCATACTTTAAAAAACTATATATATATATATATATATATATATATATATATATATATATATATATATGTATGTATGTATGCATAAGTGTGCTTGATATATTCCTTCATATCTCTGCTCTTTCCTTGTTTTTGCCTCTTTCAATTTCTTTCACTCCTCTCCGACCTATTCCTGTAACCCGTACTTGCGCGAGAGAATATTTAAAAAAATATATATAACAATGAATAAATACGTAAGAAAAACTTACATCCTTGAAGCACAAAAAGATGTTCAAAAGGCAAGGACTTAGGTGTCTTTACAAAGGTTATTTAAAAGTCAAGTGTTTGTGGGAGAAGCTGCAAAGACAATGACCGAAAAAAAATATATCGGAACTTTGGGGCGAAGAAAGAAATGGTAAAAAAAGAAAATAGCGTCGATATCATTGAAACAGGGGCAGAATTTTGTAAAAACAATCGAAAACTGGTACTTGCTTGTTATTCTTCGTAGCAGATTTCACAAAATGTAAGAAAATGGAAACTTTCTCCTTCCTCAATGCTAATTTAGAAACTTCAACATTTTTACTTTTATTGAACGATTTGATTGATTTCTTTGTTTGTTTAACGGCATATCAACACCATTATGGGTTATTTAATGCCGACATTTAATTTTCTTGGGAGCTTTGAAGAAATAATTATAAAAGATACGTTATTCGGCGTTTACCATTGAATGTATGGAATTAACACATTAATTCCATCTATATTTTACGCGCGCGCGAGTTTTTCTCCCTTCCTTTCACACTCGTGCGTGTGTGCGCGCGGTTTGCACCCCTTCCTCTCTCTTACAGTTAGACGTAGCAGTAAACGTCCTTTAACTAGTGAGGAAGCTCGCTAGCTCCTACTGATGAAGTCAGCCTAACAGATTTTGAATTTTTTCCCGCGCGTTTCCTGGCGTCTCAAACAAACAGCGTTTGCAAGCCAGTTGCCTCCCGACTTTCGACCTAACTAGACGGGCAACTCATTTATTCCGTGCCCTTAACCCATATGCGGGCCGGAATATCTTATCTCAACAATGTCGACCTCACACTTTACCAAGACTTCTTCTTGGCTTGAAGCTGCCCGCAGGTCAGACCTTCTCCGTTTTCGACCAGAAGACGTTCGAGACACACGACACAGTCGTGATCAAAACTTCGTATTCAACAAGTGGCTTATTTTTATCCCTCGTCAGTCAACCTTAAATACAGACAGGGATATTCTGGACTCGCCATAAGTAACTTCACATAGACGATGCAACCAACTGCAAACAAACTTGACGAACAAACTTGCTACCCGCAGGTCAGACCTTCTCCGTTTTCTGCTAGAAAATGTGCGAGACACACGACACAGTCGTGGGCAAAATTTCGTATTCAACAAGTGACTTATTTTATCCCTCGTCAGTCAATCTTAAATCCAGACAGGGATATCTTACTGACGAATATTCTTCGTCCCTTCTGGACTCGCCATAAGTAACTTCACATAGACGATGCAACCAACTGCAAATAACTCTTCGTCCTTTTGGCTAGACGTCCACAGCAATCCGTTAAAATTTTCAACAGTCAATTCAAGGCCTGACCCAAAACTCTGAGACGACTGAACTTTCTCTCTACTTTGAACCTGAACATAAAAAAAGATAAAAAAAAAACACAAAAATCACATACACTCTCAACGCCCAAAAATCCACAGTGAGTACTCCTTTCTATCTGTGCGCACCTACACCTCTGTTAACGAGTACCTTTTTCCAGAACCTTATGAAACTCTTTTTCCCGCCTTGTTCACCTTGCTATCCTATTTTGGCGCGGAACATCTTCTCTGATCTCGTACCACGAGATACCTACTTATTTTCCATCTAATAAAAATTACACATGTTTTGCATCCAGACGCCTTTGTCATTTTATTCCGGCTATCTCTTTGATGTTTATAATTTATGCACTTGTTGATTGACCCCTTTCCTCTCACTGTTCATTCACGCATTTTTTTTATACATTGTTTGTGGACTCGGTAATTTAGTGTAGTGTCTGGCACAAGGCCACTTTGTAATAAACCAGCACTGCACGCTGCCGGGTCTGCAACAAATGCATGGATGGTACTCAGTTTTTGTTTGTGTGGACATGGTTGCTAGAGGCGGTGATATGTGTGTGCGTGTGTTTATGTTGTAGTTTTGAAGTTATATTTTGGAAGACAGTTTGATTTAAGAAATTGTGAATATTATATGGATTAATGTAATGAAAGAGATCTTTCATGTTGATGTTTGCTTGAATATTGTTTACGTTGATGCGACTACGCATACGCACGAACGAGAGACGCTGGGAATTTTAAATTTAAATTGTTGTTTTTTTAATTCAATAGCCGATTTCATTTAGCTTCTTTTTGCTTGCTTCCATCACTTTTACGATTAAATATCCCATGTTAAAAGAGATTATATTTACTAATAAAAAATTGTTAAAACATAAATAAATTTAAAAAGACTGCTATTTTCAAATTCGCAGGAGAAAAACTTCATGTGAAACAAAAAAATGACTGCAGGATTGCTATGTGATATCCATCCTCTTATATGGCAGTGAATTCTGGACACTCTTCCCACAGATGAGGAGAAAACTAGAGGCAACAGAAATGTAGCTCTACAGAAGGATACTGAGAATTCAATTATCGTAGCTAGTAAGGAACGAGGAAGTCTTAACGAAAATGGTAACAAAAAGAACACTTATGCTCAAAATCAGGAAGAGACAGCTGAAATGACGCATAATGAGGAAGGAGGGATTGGAAAACTTATCACCCACAGGATATACCTAAAAGCAAAAGCGGTAAGGGTAAGACAACGGGATACCCACTTGACGACCTTGTATGAATGGATGGCGGAATGATGGGCGGATCGCTTGACAAAAATAGAAAACTGCTAAGGACCACAAAGAATAGGAAGATGTGGAGAGCCATGATCGTCCATGTCATGAAAGGATGCGGTACATAGAAGAACAACAAAAATAACAACAACTCAACCGAAGTAAGCATTGCTGAGAGCGACATTAGATTGGAAGCTGTGAAAAACTATGATCACCTTCGCCCTAAAGAGATATGCGACAGATAGATAGATAGATAGATAGATAGATAGATAGATAGATATGAACAGACTGAGATAGATAGATAGATAGATAGATAGATAGATAGATAGATTTATTGTTCCATGTCCCTTTAAGACGTAGACGATCGAGAGATTTAAGGTTTTGAGGAGCGTTCAAGCACCTCTTAATTGCTGCTGTTAAGGAGTCCACCCTGATTCGGGGTGGTAACACCTGTTAGGGTCCCAATAGTGGGCAAATAGAGCCATCCCAATAGTGGGCAAATAGAGCCACCCCAAACTGGGGTCAAAATATGAAAATATAAAAACACATCAGAAAAAAATACGTACAATATATCATTAAAAAAAATTTACCAGCAATACATTTTTCTAAAGAGCAAATAACAAAGGTCACAAGAAAAAATTTCAGCATTAAATGACCCATAAGAAGTTGATATGCCGTGACGCTCAATAAAATGTTGGTCTCTTCTTTCTTAAAACGTTATAAAATTTACGTTAGTAAATTTACTTTACTAAATATGATCGTTTTATATAAATAAACATAATTCATTTATAAATTATTTATAAATAATTTTATTGTTTATTAGTTATAAATTATTTATAAATAATTTTAATATTTATAAATTATTATTATCATTATTATTATTATTATATAGGTGTCGGCCAATGGAGAGTCTTTTTAAGCATAATGTCGACAAGATACTTCACAACTAATGAACATTTACGAGGAACCCACACAGAATAAACAATGGTAGTTTTCTGCAATTTTAATCTCAGTTCCAACTCTCCCTAATCGCCTTTTCAGTTTTCCAAGTGGTATTCCAAGCGGTGTTTCATTACTACAAGAATTAGTTCGATATTTCATGTTCCATAGTTTTTTCAACTCCTGAACCGGTTATGGTATTTTCTATTTCTTCAGTTTCTTTGAAATACTTTCTTGTATCATATCGAAAACTATCTTTATCTATCCCATTGTATTTGTGATTGTCATTCCGTCCGTTACTTCGCAGTGAAAGAAAGAAAGAAAGAAAGAAAGAAAGAAAGAAAGAAAGAAAGAAAGAAAGAAAGTTGGATGCAAAGAAAGTAGAAAAAAAGGTGTGAAGAAAGAAAGAAAGAAAGAAAGAAAGCTGGATGCAAAGAAAGAAAGAAAGAAAGAAAGAAAGAAAGAAAGAAAGAAAGAAAGAAAGCTAGATGCAAAGAAAGAAAGAAAGAAAAGAAAAAAGAAAGAAAGAAAAAGAAAGAAAGAAAGAAAGCTGGATGCAAAGAAAGAAAGAAAAAAAGGATGTGCAAAGAAAGAAAGAAAGAAAGAAAGAAAGAAAGAAAGAAAGAAAGAAAGAAAGAAAGCTGGATGCAAAGAAAGAAAGAAAGAAAGATGTGAAGAAAGAAAGAAAGAAAGAAAGCTGGATGCAAAGAAAGAAAGACAAAGAAAAAGGATGCAAAGAAAGAAAGAAAGAAAGAAAGAAAGAAAGAAAGAAAGAAAGAAAGAAAGAAAGAAAGAAAGAAAGAAAGCTGGATGCAAAGAAAGTACAAAGAAAGGATGTGAAGAAAGAAAGAAAGGAAGGATGGGTGTGAAGAAAGAAAGAAAGGAAGGAAGGATGGGTGTGAAGAAAGAAAGAAAGAAAGGAAGGACGGGTGTGAAGAAAGAAAGAAAGAAAGGAAGGACGGGTGTGAAGAAAGAAACATGTGAAGAAAGAAAGAAAGAAAGAAAGAAAAGCGAACAGATGCCACACTTTGATCACAGCCAAAAGGCCGAGAAGCGATTGTATTTTCTTGCCGTCCCACGCTGGCAAGATGTTTAAGGTGGTGGGCCAAGTCCAAAAATAGCCCAGCCACCGCAAACGTCGGTTGCGCTGATATCGGTATTACTACCGTCCGCCACCCCCCTCCAATTCTTTAGTGCAATGAGAGAAGTACTGATGCAGTCAGCTGCTTTCCGAGACCAGGCACCTCTCATTTTCAGCTACGCTCTGTTGGCAACTGAGAGACGAAACGTGGTCATCCGCCCGCGAGCAGATACTACACTTTGATCCCAACCAAAAAAGGCCGAGTAGCAATTTTATTTACCCGACCTACCCACTAAGGCAGGTTGTGACAAAAAGTTGGCGTGCACATACGCGTACATATAGGCCAAAGGCAAAAATTATCCAATCCCCGTGACCACACTCGCACTGGCGTCGATATTACACCGTCGATATTACACTCTCTTAGTCTAATGAGAAAGGTACTGCTGCAGGGTTGGAATCCCCGGGATCGGGCGCCTTCTCCCATCCAAAAGCCGACAAGCAGTGGCGACCGGGAATAATGTGTGTTTTTTTCAAAGGTACAGTGTCGAACGAATTATATATATATATATATATATATATATATATATATATATGTGTATATATATATATATATATATATATATATATATATATATATATATATATGAGTGTGTGTATTTGTAGCAATCCTCTTTTATACACGTTTCATTAAAGACGACTGACAAGGTACTGCGATTGATCTATCTTTCTATCTATTTATCTATCTACATTTATATATTATATATATATATATATACATACATACATACACACACACACACACACAATATATATATATAATATATATATATATATATATATATATATATTACATACGTGCATGATTAGTCTCCGAATGAAGCTCAAATTATCTAACTCTCAACTGCATTTGTGACATGGACATTCATGATAGAAGTTATCCAACTCTTAGATGCTTTCCATTTAAGATGCCTTCACAAAAACTTAATGGTGTCTTCGAGAGATAGAATTGGCAACAAGGAAGTGATAAGACGAGCACATTCTGGACATTTGAATGTAATTGTGGCATATAGGCGGATACAGTTCACCGGCCATATCCTGTGATTACCTAAAAGTCGTTCAACCAACTCTAAACTGGATACCTCAAGGCTGCAAAAGACCAAGGGGTCGTTCTAAAATGACATGATGCACTACAGTTAAGGAAGAAATGAGAAAAAGAAACTCCAACATGTTCCAGGTTCAACGACTTACCCGAGATCGATGTAAGGGGTGGAAAATAGTTGGCCTTTGTTAGACGACAGTAAAGTAGCAGGGAAATGTGCATGCAAAGTCGCACAAAGGCAGTTTTCTTTTATAGTACAGATTAAAAATAAAGTTTATATATCGCTCTGCGCAGGTTAGAAAAGAGGCTCAGAGGAGTATTGAATAGCGGCTCACAGTGAGAAGTTGGAAAGCCGAGTTCGAATTCCAGTCGAGCTCATTACTTTCACTTATGTGTTAATACATTTAGGAAATGGTAAACAGAAGGACAGACTGGGTCGTATACCCTTACTTAGCGACTATAGGAGAAGGAAAACTGAATCCAAACCGGTCTAGAAAGGAGTGGGCTCCCTCAGGCTCTCTTGCTAATGGGTTACGGGTCTCGTGATAGGTTGCATTTCGTTGACCTTAGTTCTTATGAAAGATTTCGTGTACTACTTGCAGTCAGGTTCACCTTATTTTTTTTTCTTTTTAAGCATCAGAATTGTCCATTTCTGGAATTTATTTCAAAGTGGGTGTCAAATAGAGGAGAGTAATTTGTGGTTGTCAAATAAAGGAGAGTAATTTGTGGGTGTCAAATAGAGGAGAGTAATTTGTGGGTGTCAAATAAAGGAGAGTAATTTGTGGGTGTTGAATAAAGGAGAGTAATTTAAGATTCAGGTTTAGTAAGCAAAAAGTCATCTCCTAACTAATAAACAGACAGACTTGTTGTTGAAAATATATATCAGATATGATATACTTGACAGGATCAGTTGACTGTCTCAAGTCCCGTAAGAAAAAATAAAAGAAGCAAGATGCCGCGATGTCGTTTTATTGGTCCGTGAAATGACGAATCAGTAACTAGCTAACATGTGTGATTTCTTGGTAAAAAAATAAAATAAAATAAAATACAAGAGTTCATTCCACGAATATTTTTTGTTTTGGTGAGAAGTAGATTAAAATAGGCTGGAGTATGAATGTTCTCTGACTCACTGTCTTCTTCATCGCTGACGAGTAGGTAGCAACATTTCTCCACTGGAGACAAAAAAAAATTGTGCTTATTTATTATTCTTTTTATGTAAGAGCGTAAAAGTGCCGAACCGGAAATTGTTTCCAGAAGAGTTGCAGTGTGTTATATGTATCATGAGAAGAGTTGTAGCTTCCGGATGGCACAGAAACCGATATCCGATCAGTATCGACTGAATCACCGGAAAGAGTGGGTATGATGTTGAAAGACCCGAAACCCGTAATGATCATCTGCTAAAGCATCACTGATTATGTGTGCCAAAGCATCTAACAGATGTATTTCACGAAAAATTACAAGAAAACCTTTCGCCTTGGGAGAAGTTAGCTTCTAACTTTTAGTGAGAAATCAAGACGGTGGGACTTTGGAACATTAGCCTGAAGGCAGACGATACGACGCACTGCGAAGCAATGACTATAGGTCACCAAACACCAGTTGAATCCACAGAGGATGTAGTGAGAATGCTACAAAAAGACAAATCACCAATTTCTTCTTTTTTATGTACCGTGTCCACCATTTTAATAAACTTTGTCTTTTTGTTATTTCGCCTAAACCCTGTCCCCCCCATCCATTTACTCAAGCTCACTAAGTAAATTATGCGTTGTTTTCCCCTGTCCCTCTTGTCTTCACTCTTTCCCGTGAGTAACAGATTTTCCAAGCCCTCTTTCCTCATTACGTGCCCCAGAAATTTCACTTGTCTCTTCCTTATGTCAAGTAAAAGATTCCCTTTTGCTTCCAGCTTCCATTTTCTCTAGAAGTTCGTTGCTCACATGTTCGGTCTATGGTATCCTCAGCATCCATCTGTAGAACCGTATTTCTGTTGCTTCACGTCTCTACTTCATTTTTGAGGAGATTAACCAGCAATTTTTTTTTAAATTTCCTACCACATCCTAAATTTTTACAAGAATTGTTTGCATTTTTCTTTAATTTTAAAAAGTGTTTTAAAATTTTTCCAGAGTGTGGGGTAGGTTTTTAAGTGAAGACTATATTTACTAAGCGAAAATTAAAAGCTTAAGACAAATAATGCTACCAAAACTTTTACCATAATTAAAAATATTTTTTTGTACGTCAAAATGTTATATTTTTTTCTTTTAGTATATCTCATAAGTGACATTATGGTTAAAAGGCCACGTGTTTCAAAGCTTGTCTACTCCTTCGGGAAAGCCCCTTGACATGTAAAGGTCTTATCTCACTCTCAGTTATTAAATTATAAATTAAATTGAGATAATAAAATTATCTCATTTATCAATTTGAACAATTAATAACTCAGTGAGATATTTTAATTATTAATATAATAATAATAATTATATTAGTTATTACCTCGGTTATTAAATTAAAAATGTAATAACTTAATGTAATATTAATAATTAATAAAATTATTTATCATTATCTTAGCTATTAAATAATGGAAGAGATAGAGGTAACTCAATAATGTAAGAAATTTTTATAGTATTTTAAATTATTATAAGAAACAAAAAAAAACCGTTATGTCACTTTTGATGCACCGTACTAAACGTGTCAATACATTCAGCCATCAAATTATCGATGGAGACGTGAAAATAACAAGACCCCGAGGTCAAGAAATGTTTGTCGCGAAAATTTTATGCTATAAGTAAGTGATATTTGTTTCAGAACAGATTAATTTAACTTTAAATTTGCTAATTTTACGAAAGTAACGTTTCAGAAATGTATATCTTATTTTAGCGAGATTTTCAAAACCGAAAAATAAGTTTATTTACATTTCTCTAAAAAAAGTTAAAAATGAACGTTTCGATTGGTTTTTCGGAAGCAACAACTAAAAATCATTTAAATTTCTATTTGAAATACTCCACAGTATTTTTTTTCTGGAATTAGAAAATTTAATCCTTTAGCTTTCAATTGAAGCGGTTGGAAAGCTTCGAAAAGGATTTTTCCTTTATGAAAAATATATCTAAATCTTAGGTATACGAATTTTTGGAGGTACCTAATATATATATATATATATATATATTAATAACAGCTTATAATAACGCTAGACCCAAACAAAAAGCTGAAGACTTTAATGAATGTCATGTCCACCATTGTGTGCCTGAATTTCATAAACGCAATAATGCTAGACAAATATTAAAGAATATCTCTGTTGTATACCCAGGTGCGTTGCCGATGCATAATGATAGCAACGTTACGCACAAATCATTCTCCTTACAGATACATTTTATTTGTATTTCTTTGGCAGAAAACAAATAATTAAATAAAAGAATTAAATAAAGAATTATTTAATCTAAAACGGCTATTGTCAAATTCCAGTTTGTGTTGAAAATGGGGTTTTGCGTTTAGGGTAATGAAAGAAAAAACGTCGAAAAGTGCTGATTTAAACTAACAATTCTCCTGTCCATATAACATCTGAAACGGTTTAATAGAAGAATGAATGGATTTTATGTAAATTACGACCCCAGGATGGTTTTCATTAGTACAACAACCTTTCGTAACCGCCTTACTGAACTTATTCTTTCACCCGGAGAGTGCGCTGCTGAAAATTGCACTTCTGATATTCCATACAAATGTGGAAAATAATGTAAGGGAGAAATTCAGAACCCTATTCGCTTCTATGTAGTTAATACATTATCCTATCAGAGATCAGATCTACAAAGTAGAAAAGGTACAACACTGAAGGATAAGAAAGCTACGTACACTCGCCTTGTAGAAAAAAATGTGTAATGACTTCATGCTCATTTATTTAAGGTTTATTGTGATGTGAGCAACGAGACTCACACGACTTGAAGACTAAAACTAGTAACTACAAACTGTAAAATTACAGTTGGTTAAGCCTTATAAGGATTTCATATATATATATATATATATATATATATAAAAGGCAGGATGTGTGTGTGTGTGTGTGTGTGTGTGTGTGTGTGTGTGTGTGTGTGTGTGTGTGTGTGTGTGTGTGTGTGTAACGAATGCAAGGTCGCAATTTTCGACGGATTTGCACCAAAATTTACATGCACATTAGCAGAAAGGCCAAGACCGCCTTTGCATTTCACAACTCCCATCGATAGTGAAAATAATCGATTTTTTCATGCTTCTACGGCAGTTTTCATTTACTTTTCGGCCATTTTCTACTGGCCAGAGTCAGAGCCTATAGCTGGCTGTCACGAATAGGCAGGAAGATTCTATTGGCCAGCGTGAGAGCCAACAGCTGACTGACACGAATGTTAACTAGCATGCTAGCATGCAAAAAAACGATAGCTGCATTCGTCACAAGTGGGAAAAATTTAAATCTGCATGGCACTTTACTCCAATTGGCTCATTCGCTTGCTTAAACTCAACGTTGATTCTGATTCTGCAGAACTGGGCTGGTTGTGAAAAAGTATTTGTTGTTAACATTCTTCTTTCATTTGTTTTTTCCAGTTACGAGTCCTTTTTTAAAGCTGAACACTTTGTGTTCATTTTGTTTAGTTCTTTTTTCGTAACAGATTTAATGTTTAGTATAGAGCTTAGAAAAAATTTGCAGTGTGCGATAGGCAAGAAGTAAGGCCTGTAGCAACATCAGCACGGCAAAGGGCACTCCTTTAAAGGCAAGGAAGGGCAAAGATATTTTAAGTCTAATGATAGCGATTGCTGTATGTCGTATGATTTTTGAATCAACCACGGACAACGCCGGGCCAAGCTGCTATATATATATATATGAACTCCTTATAAGGTTTAACCAACTGCAATCTCACTTCAATTCTCGGTAGTGGATGCGCACTGCTGATGATTCCCAAATATAGGATGAAACAGTGCTTTCTACATTCTGTTGAGGTTTCTTTCAGACTCGATGAATTACTTAATTATAATTATCCAATCCTCCTAATAATTTCTATCACTTGCTTGAACCGGCTTCTAATTGCTCAAGTTTGAGCGGCTTGGTGATAGTAGTCGTGGCTCCTGGGGGCACAGTCCTATGGTTAGAGAGAATCTCAGTTGAGTTCCACCACGGAATATGTGAGCGAACGGCGCTTTATTGAGTCTAATTCGCTGCCTCTTCGTCACCGACGCCCGTTGGAACAGTTGGTATGACGTTTGCATGATAAACTAACTGC